GAACTTTTCTCAGGGGCCTGTATATGTTTGGCCAAGTATTTTTCAGAGTCAGACACTGCACTCATGTCCATTTCACCTAGAACTGGGAGGGGTGACTTGGACCATGGTGAACTGGCTCCTTAGTGGAAACGAGGGGTTTTCAGCATGATGCTGAATTGACAACAACATGTGAGCCACAATCAAAACCCGGGCAGATGAAGGTTAGTAAGGGATAGTCCGGACCATAAATGGATGCCTTCGCTGCCTTTTTAATTCGTTACATCGGTTTGGGTAGACAATTTTAACACATTGGTTTTGAGTGTGACTCAGGATTTGTCTATCATTTCGGTGTGATTTTGAAGAGGTGACCCTTTAGTGGACATCATTTAGGTGGTGGTTCATGTCCACCAACCACTTGCTAGGGGGTTCCTTAGTAAATTTCATAGCAATTTATTTGCTCATCAGTTTAGTCAGGAAAATGATGTCAGATGTTACTACACGTTGGCCCAGTTGGTTGTGTTGTTTTTTTCGGAGTCGGAACTCCCCCACCACAAAAACAATCGTACCGGTTTTCCTTTGGTTTCCCTTTAAAACCACCAAGCAAGGGGTACGCTAAAAAAAACAACATACCCAGTTCCCTCATTCTGACCAATGGTGTTTTCATCCATGCTCGTGGACACCAATGAGGCCGTGGATTGCCGAAATCCACAACATGCTCCAGTTGGGATAGCTGAACCCCTACTGGGATAAACCACTAATCCCAACCGATGCCCATCGGCGTTGATTTGTCTATGCACAGTACTTTGGTGTTCGGCCAGGTTAGTAAGTGGGTCGCCAACCAACTAATAACATGAGTAGGTGGTGCCAACAACTTAGTAACTTGGCCAAACACCCAAGTATCACTTTGAAGGGGATTCCCAGCAGTAGCCTTTTAAGCCGTGTTTTCCACAACCAGTCCCGCAGAGAGTACCACTATCGGACGTGCATCAGGGCCAAATATGAGATGCTCAATATGTAGTGCGGACATCTGCGGGCGCCCTTGCCACGTGCTGGCCTGCGAGCGCCCTTGCCACGTGCAGGCACGCACGTATAACGTACAAGTTGAAGCCACATGCCGAAAACGCAACACTGCGGTGGTTTGCTTATCACTTGACACTTGTTGACATGTTTTGACATGTGTGGATCACTGGTTGTGAAAGAGGGCGGGTGGTCCTGGGGGCTGCGTTTTTCAGCTTCCTCGGGGCTGCGTTTTGCAGATTCCTGGGGGCTGCGTTTTTGTAGCACAGATTGAATTTTACAGTCTTTTGATTGTGATGGCATGCAGGTAAACTCGAGTTGTGTTTCCATAATGTGTCTTTAAATGTCAGCTGAATTGTAAATAAGTTTGATTTGAAAGAACACACGGTGTCAATTATCAGTTAAAATAGATTTCTTCTAATTCAAATTGTATTATGAAACAGAAGTTGTGATTGGATTCATTCCTTATCAAATTATGTGTAACTCTAATTTAACTGTAATGCTCTTTTGGGAAAGATGTACATCTCTAAGTTCTAAATGTAGGATGTAATTTCTCGTAGGATTCTGATCAGGTATGTCCTTATTAAGTCCGGTTCAAATCCTATTCAAACTGAATTGTAGAGAGAGGCTGTTGGTGGAGATGTGAATTGAGTACGAAAAACGCTACAAAACACCGTCTTGTGCAGTGCTTTGCGAGCATGTTAGTGCTGGGGCTAGTAAACAAAACAACACGATTTTAGACTCTCTGAATTCTTTCCTTCTGAAATCTACTTAACATCTTTACCAAATTCTACCCAATGTCGAACTGAAATTAACTAGAAACTGTTCAGGAAAGGCTCCAATCAAATTGATTATTTTAAATTAGGTTTTAAGTTATGTTTATGATATTCAACATACATGTTACACGGGAATTCCTTTCCCATAGAACTCTCCTTACAAGTCAGTAAACATCTGAACAACACGCATTGAACATCTTCTCTGGGTCGACTGAAGCCATCGCAATCGAAGCCAGGGAGTCTGTTCGATGTCTCCGGCTGGCTTGAAAGCAGAGCTGGCTACGAAAGTCACAGAGCTGAAGGCATTCTGCTGCAGATGCAGATAAAAAATGTAAAAAACCTCGTTTTCCAAAAAATGCAGGCCCTATGTCCCCAAGCTTGGGCTGCTCAGCCATAGGGCCTGCAGTTTTGTTTTTTGTTTTGTTGGAGAACTCTTTTTGTTTGTTTTCTCGAAAAGTGAAAAAACATATTTTTTCAAAAACATGCAGAATTGCAGGCCCTATGTTCCCAAGCTTGGGCTGCCCAGCCATAGGGCCTGCAGTTTTGGTTTGCTTTTGGTTTTTGAGTTGTTGGGTCGGTTTTTGATGAGAACGGAGCCCCCAAGAATCTGAAAAACGCAGCCCCTAGGGCGTCCCCTTCTGTTGTGAAAATTGCTGCCTACAAACGATCAGTGCTAAGGAGTGCAAGAATGCGGCCCCGCAGGAGTTATCACACAACTTGTCAAAATTGAGCCCCATACCTTGATAGTCCAGTTCAGGCCTTCAAAAAGGTAGCTTTTGGCAAACGCTCAAAATGCCAACCCAATAGGCCGCTTAACCCTCATTGATGAAAGATGCCTTTACCCCCCAAACCCACTTGCGGCCTCAGTTTCCCTCTACCCCGTTTAAGCCACCCTCCAATGCGGGTCTCCCATCTCTTTTTTAGGAATCGGACCCCCCAGAATGAGTGTTTCCCCCCGTTTCTCTTGGTTCTTTGAAGCTGCAAACAAAGGGGCACCCCCTCAAAAAGGATGCCCAACTCAATTCCGTGACCCCCGATCCGAGTCCTACGAAGAGTTCCATCGCCTGGAGCTGGAAGAGCAGGCCAAGCGAGGCCAGAGCCGAACGAAACGGTGGCCAAATGGCTTTGTGCTTTGAGGCTACCTTTTTCACCCTTTCAAGCAAACCCAAGGGCCCCTATTCACCACCTTTGGATGCTAAACTATTAGCAGCGCAGGCTAGGAGGCTTGGTTGGTAACCCTTTTATGGCGTCGGCTCAAGGTTGTGCGTTTCCAATGTTGCATCATCAGACATGGCTTTCATGGGTTTGCCCCCCTGTTTTGTCAGGTACCCCTAAAATGGGTGGTTTCCTTTGCAACCCCAGTAGGGGGTACCCCCAAAAAAGACAAGCCCGTGCAAGTGATGTCCACCAAAGTGGCCCCATACAAAGGGAATGCCGTGACTTGTCCTGGAAAGGGGCAACTGTGTTGGGAATGAAAAGTCGAAGGGCTTGCCAGTTTTGGGCCCGGTTGTGTTCGTGGAACATCTAAGAGTTCCACGTGGTCCGCGTTGTATTGCAGCAATTCGGCTGATGGCCATGTGTGTTGGCTTACAAAACGAAGCGCCTCGTTTACGGCCGAACTTGGACCCTTCCCACTTACAGCCAGTGGCTCGGGCAAGGAGGGTTTTTGTTTCATCGCGACATTGGTTTTGGATCTGTCACCTTTAAGTCTTCCCCACTAACCAACAACTCAAGTGGTTCACTTTGTGCGGGGATAGCCGAGGGCTGGCGCTGAGGGAGTCAATGACTGGGAACCCCTTTTATGAACCGCAGAACCCCGGCATCTGAGTTTGAGAGATGGGGCGTTGTCCAGTTCCTAGTGGGACTCACCCACCACTTTTTGAGGGGCCCCCACCCTCTATTTTAGGTTCCCTTTTTTGATTAGTTTGGTTAGACATAGAAGTGTTCCACTCGTTTAGATTGGTTTTATGCCCCGTTTACTGAGCCTACTGTGGATGGTTGCGGAATCCGCTTCTCCACGTAAATGCCAACAAGCGCTACGGTTTCAACAATGGCTGCATTTCGTGGTGCGAAATGGATGTCGAACATCCATCATGATCCGGGAGTTGGTATGGCGGTGTGGGTACGGAAGCGCGGGCAGGTTTGCGATAGGAACAAACGCCATCAAGACATGCTAGGGAAACAAATGGTTTCGACGGGGCCAATGAACCATGGAGCCGCAGGTCCTCACACATGGAGTTGTTGCGGAGTTTTTGCGACTATGTGTCCAGATTCGGCTGAGTAAATCTACGCAAATGTTTGTACTTTACCGAATAACGACCGTCAAGTCATCCAAAAGAACATTGAAGTGACAGTGAGCAAAGGAACCTACGCGAACCCTTCAACATATGAAAATGCTGGTGTTAATTTGCCTGTGGATTAAGGGCAACCAAAACCCGACTGTGAAGTCAAACAAACAGACGGAAAAAAGGAAGACAGGGCCATCAAGTTGGCATTCAACACACATGAAAGCCAGAAGGCTGATATTCATTCAGAGCTGACTCGCAAGGGGAGACTTTGCAGTCGAAACAGGTGACTGGAAGTGAAGTTGACGAGTGTCATTGAGAGCCCAAACGTCTTGGCAAGAGCCTGGCCAGTCGACTCTGAGTCAATCTTGGAATTTCCCGGGTGAATCAGCAAGAGAGAGCCAGATGTGTGGACCATGTCTTGGTGGTTCCTAGCCATGCCCTTAACCTTTCAGCTTTTTAGTTGGTTTAGTGGTAGTTTAAGCAAGGGATCAGTTTGGACAGCCCTGATACATGTGGATGCGCTGGGGCATCAAAACATAGCCCAGCATATCATCAGGGACCAAGACCTTAGCCGTTTGCTGTATACCCAGGTTTTGTCTTTGTGGCGGTTTTTACTTGCAACATGAGGGCATCACCTGAATCGGGGGAAATCCCCAGAATGTAGGTGGGTTGCTTCCTTGTTCCTCCTTTCTTGGGAGGGGGTGCCCATTAAAATCAACCAAGAGAAAGCGTGTAAGACCTTGGACAAAAGAGTGTCTCGGGTTTTCCTTTCCAAAACCCTAAGCAACGTGCTTTTTGTTCCCCCGGATCCACCGGCCGCATTCGATCTCGAAGCACAATCGACAGATGCTGCCGACTCCGACTCCAGCAGCGCCATGAGCTTTGGAAAGGAGGAGCCAGGCGGATCGCAACACGGAAACGGGGCGTCCCTTAGATCCACAAAAAGATCGCGCCGACCATGTTTGGGATATTTTTCGCCAACCATGCCTGGGCCGTCCTCCAACAATATGCTATAGTTCAGGGCAGATGGAGTTTGTTTATGTTATTTTTGGGTAGCCCAGATTTGGGCCAAGGAAAGGAGCACCATTTACTTCCAAATCGGAAGCAACATTGGGGTCGAAGCATTTTGACACAAACCCAGTCAGTTGGGCTTGTCTTTAGGGGAACCCCATTGGTTGGGAAACCAACAGGAAACCCCACCTTTTTCTTGTGGGTCCTGCCTTTGCGAAACCCACTTCGCACCACCGTTCAGAAACCCCGGACAGATATGATTCCCGAACAAACTGTGTGGTTTCGACCATGGTTTCACGACGTGGTGCGAAATGGATTTCACAACCATCCACAGTATGGTAGTGTCTCAAAATCCACTGCAGTTTGGCTACACACAGGGGTCACAGCTCCCTAAGTAGGTGCGATGCCATTGGAGTGGAAGTTGTTTCCTCTGGTAAGGGCGCCCAAAACGGGCAGGGCCTCTAGTTTCCATAGGATAGAAACAAGAGTACAAACAGATTACGAACAAGAAGCAACAGGGGGGAAGAACAGGGTGATTTTGTTTGTTATATAAATCGTTTGCTAGAATCAAGCCTGGTTGGTTTGGGCCTCTTTTGTTAGGGAATCTGAAGTCAACACGGCGAAGCGTTTTTCCCATTCAAGCCACGCAAAAGGTGGCTTCGAGGAAAAAAACTCTCCCATGTTTTCGGGGTGTCCTGTTTAAGAGGGACACATTCACTTGAGAAGGCACCGAGAAATCCAACCACATTTTAAATGAACCCATCAAACGTTCCCATGCCCTCTTGGGGAAACGGAACAACGAAAAACCGATGGTCCAATGTACCTTATTTCCTGGGTTTTTGGATCAAAATAAGGGATTATGCGCCCCCCCCCCCCCCCCCAAATAAATTAAATATATGAATAGGAAACATATAGCAACCACATTAAATGTTTGTTTCTCCTATTGGGTTGCAAGTGGCCGATGCCAACAACCTAAAAGGGCGCGTGGGTAGTGAGCCTCAAACAGTTCACGCCCAACCATTTCACTTACACGCGCCATTGGCTTGTAGGCGGCTCCAAAGAGGAAGAGGAGGAAGAGGAGTTGCTGAACTGGGACGAGGAGGCAGCGGCACGCTTGAGCTTGGTGCTTCGATTTCGCATGTGGATCAAAGGGACCAGTGCCAAACGAGCAACCGAATTCACATGCGGTCTTCCTTGTTTGGTCTTACGAGTTTTACAGGGCAGGGTTAGGTCTTACTTACTTTGGTCTTATCAGGGAGGGTTATTTGGGTGTCTTCTCTTAGGAATTGGACCTCCCAAAAATGGCTTCGGTGTTCCCGTTTGGTTTCCCCGTAAAACCACCGGAAAAGGTGCCCCCCAAAAAAGCAAGCCCAAGCACTGCTTAGCTTGCGGGTTCGGGATTTCCGGGAGGATGTCCATGGGCACGTGGAGTGGTTGCGCGCCATCGGCTTCGGCTCCCACGACGAGGAGCCTCGGAACGCTTCGCGGGACGGACGGTGCCGATGTTTGGGTCCGAAGCCACAAATGGGCGCCACCAGTTGGATGCTTTTTCTAGGGGTCATTCCCTCATTCCACGGGTGTTGTTGGGACACATTTTGCATTTTTGCTTGTTGTGGGTTAGTGGTTGAAATCCCCACTTAACTCGCTTAACTGCTAAAATTTAACTGTTTGCTCCCCTTCCAACGTCAACCAAGCAAATGGGCACCACCTGGCTCTTTTGTTGGCGCCTTTACTTTCCTTCCCTTCGATCAACTCAGGACAACCTTCAGCCCCACCCTCCCTTCCACCAGACCTGTGTCTTCTATTCATTCATTTATTTATTTTGGGGGTCCCCTTTTAGTTGGCCTCAAATCTTAAGAGAAGCCACAGGGAAACGACATAAACGACGCATTTTGTTGCGGGGCTAACAACTTGATCGAGACCCCGAGCTTGGGAGCTTGGCAGAGGGCTTACCAAGCCCATTTGCTGCAATGAATACATGTTTGTGTATTTCCCTTTGGCTTTGAAGGGAATCAATTTCACTGCTGGAAATATGTTTGTGTTCCAGGGGACCTGAACCTTTCCCCTTTCAGTTTTTCAACAAGCCAAACGTTTTCACTTTGATCAGGGGGTCTATGGCCCAGTTGTGTCAACATAGGACCCGAGCTTCAGTTTCTCTTGGTTTCTTTCTAAGCCGACCCCAAAGAGAGTATAAAGAGAGACCCCTCAACAAAAACCACGCCCATTTGGAGAAGACAATCAGCTTGTCATGGATTCCCAGGATTTGGTTTGGAGGATTTCATATCGCCATGCTGCATGTTCCAATCCAGGAATCCACAGAATGCAAGGCGGTTCATTCGTTGGATCCTTCGCTTTTGGGAGCTTGGATAAAGGCATTTTTCCCCCTTTTAATGGCTTTTGGCATCATGAAGGGCGGGCAGTTGCCCGACATTTGCCCATTCCCAGGTTGCTTCGAGTTTCTTTTTCCAACTTGTTTTGGAGGGGTGTCCTTCAACACCAAACAGAATTCCCCTTTTTTTGCCCATGGAATCCATGGAATTCGTCCCCTGGGACGCCTTCAAATTGGCTTCAAATCGGAAACTGGGCTCATGAGTCAACATTTGGAATCCTGCAGCGGGCTATCCAACCAATCGGCGTTGGGTTTTAAGAGTTGTGGGCCGCTTAGAATTTACACCATGAGGGTCGACCATTCAGAAACTTGTCTTTGGTCCACTAGGGACAGGAGCTCCTCCAAGCTCTGTAGAAACCCAGAGGACCCTCCAATTTACAGTGCCCCACAGAAGATATAGCAAGTTTTGACTGCACATGCCCCCAACAGGTTTCTATTCAGCCTCTCTTTGCCCCAGGAGGACTTTGGGCAACTCTGGCGCCAGCCAATCCGAGATGCGCCGCCGGCTTGCTTCACCTGGGGGTGTGGCGTTCAAAAGCAGACGGGCCCCAAAACTTCGGCTAGCTCTTTTCCCGGTGTTCTAGAGCATCTCAACTGCTTGAATTCTATTCAAACTTTTGAAACAACATTTTGCGAATTCCAGTGTCGAACGTTTCAACTACTCGAACTGTATGTTGGACCCCGGCCCCCTCCGCACAGTGGATGATGCACGTTGGGATTAAACCCGCACAAGCCAAAATGGGCCGCGTCCTCAAAACCCGTGTAGATGAAGGTCAGCAAGGGATAGTCCCAACCATAAGCACGCAGACCATTTTCATACCGAGCGGTTTTGATTGACTCAAATTGTGGTTGTTGAATGGCGCGATTAGTTGGTCTGACGGTCTTCCAGATCGTGGTCAGGAAATGGCCAAGTCGCATCCAATCAGTTCGGGATCCGTTTTTTAGGGGGCCCTGTCGCATTTTTCTGCTGGCTGAGCAAGCAACTCTACCACTGAAAGGGGAACCTCCGCTCTTGGTGGTTCCCAGCCATCCGGTTCCTTAGGTTTTTAACTTGAGGTTTCGTGATAATTAGATTCCACTAAACCACTAAATTTAGGCTTTTGGCAGGGGATCTGAGGACACCATCCCCTTAGGTGTTTAGATTGTTTAGTTGGTGCATATAGTGCTAGTTTCCACACCACAAAGTTGAGCAGGGGATCAGAAAACGGACAGCCCATTGATTTGGAGGGAACTAATATAATCTGGGCAAATAACAGCTCCATCTATATCCACACACACACACATGATCCTGCTCTGAATGGGGATACTGTCGGTGGGCAAAATCCTACACCACTTGGGATAAATGAACCCCTGCAAATAAAGGAATAAACCACTTACCATGTGGTGCAGGATTTTGTCCGTCCCAGCAGGGTTGCCAGGGTTGATCTGAAAGATCGGACTCTTGGCGAATCAAGAGAGCAAGGACCCCCCCCACACCCCAAGCCAAAAATCATACAAAATCCGATGTCCCCCCAAACGGGTGTGCCCTTTTTGCGCGTTTCAAAGGCAAACCAAGAGGAAAGCCGTTGCGCCATTTTGGGGGGGTGCAACCTCAAAAAGATGCACCCAAACGGAGATGTCTCAAAATTAGGCGAGCCACAAGTTGGCGGTTATTCTTCTGGTTTCCCTGTAAAACCAGCGAAGATTCCCTGCATACCCCCCAAAAGCAACCAACTTATGTTGTGGCCTCGTGGGCTGAGCCCACGCCAGGCCTTCATGCGCATGTTGCCGGGCCCTGCGCCGGCCGACAGCTACTGGGCGCTCGAGGCGGTTTGTCGACCCCGTGGATTCAGTCGAGCGGAAAAGTGTCAAGTAACTCCAGTGGTCTTGGTGGTTCCCAGCCATCCGGTTCCGTAGGTTTCTAGCTTTTTAGGGTTTAGTGATAGTTCCACTAATTCACTAAAAGTTAGACCTTTAGCAGGGGATGTGAGGACAACCCAATAATCTATGGTATAGTCTAGGTGTGGTGTGTTTGTTTTTTAGGATGCCCTGTTTTGGATTGTTTTGTTCATGGAAACTAAAATTTAAAAGGAGAACCGAAGGAAACCCGTGGTTGTTTTTGAATTCACACCAGCCGTGTTGATTCTGAAATTCCTCATTTTGGATTCTCAATAAAAACATTTTCGCAGACGAAGCGAGCAAACAAGTGAGTGAGCAACTGGTGATTCCAAAGAGAAAATAGCTTGGTCCCGGTGCTTTTTTTGAAAATCACGCCTGGGGGCGCTCCGTTTTTCTTTCTGGAAGTCTCGCCTGGCGGTCCCGGTGCTTGTTTTTGCTGTGTTCATGGCTGTGGGCCCGGACTTTTTGTTTTTTGAAGTCACCCCTTGGGGCTCCGTTTCTTTTTTTAAATTCACGCGTTTGGGCCCTCGTGTTTTGTCTGTTGAAATCACACCTGGGGGTCAGTGTTTTTGTTTTTTACATCACGCCTGGGCGTGATTTCAATAAAACAAATTCCGGAGCCCCAAAGCGTGACTTCCAAGAAAAAGCACCAGGGCCCACAGGCGTGAATTCAAAAAAAGCGGAGACCGAAGGCGTGAATTCAAACGCCTGATTTCAAAAAGCACACAACGGGACCCCCAAGCGGGATTTTAATTGAACAAACGCGAGGGCCCAGAGGCGTGAATTCAATATTACACCAGGACCCCCCAGGCATGATTTCAAAAAGAATACCGGGACCTTCCAGGCGTGTATGATTCCAATTGACTGGCCCTTGAGAACCATGGAACTGGCACAAGAACTGCTCTCTCCATTTGGGGATTCGACCCCCTTTGAAGCCGGACCCCCCAAAAAGACTCCATTCCACTCCACCAAGCCACCAACTACACTGCGGTCTCCAATCCCAACGCTATTTTATATTTAGGGTAGCAGAATCTGAAAAACATGTTTTTTGTGTACCCCAGATGTGGGACAAGCGTTAGGGACATGGGGAGCTCTGCACGTTTCCCAGTAAAAACCGGGGGAATCTCCGATTGCGCAAGCTTCGACCGCAAGCACCCAAACCTCCAGCGGGTTGATTCCCTTTTCAACCGTTTTTGGGCAGCAAAAAAGAATTGGCGCTCCTTTTTCCCGTAGAACTCGACAGGGATGCGGTCTGGGTGACTTTGAAACAACCAACCCCTGGTTCCCTTTTACGGAAACTTCCATTCGAAGAGTATGTTCTATTTTCCCTTTGTTGGTTCTGAAGGAAATTTGTCACTACAGGACATATTTGTTCAAGGGTACTTAAGCAAATAGAAGGAAAGAGGAGATGTGAACACAATGCCATAGTTCAAACAAGGGGTTGGGCCAATACACCAGGGTAATGCTAGATTTAATCCAGAGAACCGTACGAATCAAGGGTTTGACTTCCCGTCTCATTGCGGAAGTTATCTACTTTGGCGCCGTTGGTTACCGGGCTCGGCGGGGCTGCTTGTGTGCTCCCGAGCGCTTTGCACAATGGGGGATGTGATTCGCCAGCTGTGGGCGCAGCCCATGACCGCCCAGCAGAACATCAGGCTGTGGCTTGCCTCCTTCAGCTTGATCGGCAAGCTCCTGGATTGCAAGCCTGTATTCTGGGACTCCAAGCCGGAACACTTTGGACAGGATGGTGTCTGTGGATGTTGCAGCCGTTGAGCCTGAGCTTCTTGTTCCCCAACCTTGCGACCTTGTGCACGTCTTGTCATACTTTGGATGCACCAGTTTTGTAGGTGGCTTATACCATTATGATACGGTGCTCTTATTCCTGGAAGTCTTAGTCCCAAAAGTGCCTTGATTGGGACCCCGAACCTGAGACCCGGACAGGTCGTAGCGAACCCGGGAAGCCCATACTCAAGTTGCGGAAATCAAGCCGGATTTGTCTCCAACTACCCGCGAGCCGCGTTGAAAGGGTTGGTGCGTCCTTTAAAAGCCACCCACAGGGTGCCCTCAACCATTTCAAAAGGTGATCGCCTTTTCTCCTAGGGTCTTAGGATGCAAGAAGTGGCTACACAATTGCACATGATTCTCTCATTATTTGTGATTGGGTTTCCAGATTGTTCAATTGCAAGCCGAGAAATCGAATTGACCCAACAAAAAAGGACGGCTTGTGTTCCACCAGGGTTCCCCAGATGAGCCTTTGTGGTTCGTCACCAGGTTGGTTGCCAATCCATAAACTTCCTTTTGGGGTGATGTGGCGACAGGCGCAATCCAGGTGTGTCTTTTTTCTGGGAATACGGGAACATGTATTGGCTGTTTTTGTTTGAAGGGAAACCCAAAGCAAACCCTTGCATACCCTTGCCATTTTAATCGGGCAACATGGACCCCCAATCATGGATTTCCCACCAATTTCAATCTGTGAGCTAATTATACTGATGCTAGCTGATAGTGGGTATGGCTCCCTTTTTAGGAATCGCACCCCCCAAAACGGTTTCGATTTTCCTTTGGTTTCCCTAAATTACCAAACCCCAAAAACGGTATCCTTAAAATAAACAGAAAGAAGAGAGCAAGGACACCCAACCCCAACCCCCACCCCAAGCCCAAACTAACCCACCAAAAAGACCAAGAACAGAAGAACAGACCTGAGTTTCTGCACTTTATCAACATTTTGGGGCCGGACCATTTCGGTTTTCACAAAGTTCAGGCTTTTTCTCACCAATCAAAAGCCAGGAGGTGAGACCTATGGATGAAATATGAAGACCAAACACCGATTCAAAAGAAGACGCGCCACCACCCCGGAACTCCGCAGGCGGCCGCCAAGCGCCGGGAGCTGGTGGAGCAGGCCGCGGACAGATGGATGCCCCGTAACTTCCATGTGGGTGGCTCTTCTTTTCTTGGAGTTGGTACCCTTTTTTGCGGTTTCAAAGGGACACCAACGAAAAACAACATTCTCCGGGGTCCGATTGCCAAGAACATGGCCCAACAAATGGTGGGTTTTTCCCTTTTGATTTCCCTTTAACACCATTCGTAGAGGTACCCTCAAACAGATACGCCCATTGTCCCTGTTCGAGCAAGCCGACACCAGGGTTTGAGCAATCCAAACCCCAATAGAAGGTTTGGAAGCGTCCATTTGTGTTTCAAAATATTTGGTATTTTACAGCTTGATTTTAAATGGAATCGATTTCATTACCGGAAATATGTTTATTTAGAGAACAAAAGGAAAACTAAAGGATAGAGCGGCTACAAGATAGCCAAGAGGACAACCAACATTCTTGCGGGGTGCCTGAACATAGATGGATGCGGGTCAAACATAGGGCAACCCCAAAATGGGTTGCCCTGGCAAATGGAAAGGACGCTCAAATCTGGTTTAATTTTGGCCCATAGCGGTTTAATCCTTTTACGGGCTTGGATGCTTGCAAATAGAGAGCAGTTGAAGCTGTTCATTTTTCTTGGTGGGGGGGCGGTGGGCAGATGCTAAGGGCACGCTGAGAGGGCGAACAAACCTCGCGCTCGCTGAGGGTAAATGCAAAGCCTCGCGCTATTGGCGCAAGCTCCTGTTTAAAGATGTTTGAATCGGGGGTCTCCGATCGCAAAGCTATATACTCTCCTTCCACCAGCCGTGGAAGTGGACAGAGTATTCAATAATTAGGAAAGTTGGCTTCCAAAAACATCCGATCGTCAGCTTGAGGAGGGATTTAGGGTAGACAAATATGAAACAACATCTGAACATGGGATCAGAACGGGTGAACAGAATAGGCCAAAACTCAACATGTATAGAGGTTTCAATGTTTAGTTTCACTTCGTTCCCGTTAAGGCGCTCCCTAGGCTCATTTTTCAAGCCCCTCTCAATTCCCTGAAAACTACTGAGAACTATCAAGATGAGGGCGTGTACCTGTTTAACCACCACAGAGAGAGGGAAGCTGATGAATGCGTCCCCCACACGGTCCTGCGCTTCTCGGCGTTCAGCGCTGTTAGCGCGAGGCCGAGCGCACTGGGGAGCCGCTGGAGGCGGTGGCACCGGTGGCGTCGGGTCGTTTTGTGCCCCCCACCCCCCGGTTGAGGGTCCAGGATTAGGTTGAGGACTCGGTTTTTGAAGGATTAGGGTCCCTTTGAACACAGCGAGCAAGTTCCACGAGCTGGCAGAATGCCAAATCATTTGGTTGTTCAAGGGCCACTGACACCGATTTTAACTCGCGGGCCTCGAGCGTGTATTTGTCAACAACTTTTGGCTATGACTTTTTACTGGGAACCCTCATTTCCTTTTCAGACTTTAGTCACTTTTTGGGGCTGGACCATGTTAGTTGTAAACAAAGAGTTTAGACTAGGAAGTGAGGAACCCCTCCAACAGTGGTTGGGGCCACAGGGTCCCTAAGAAGCAGCATGCAGCCCCCATTTGGGAGGTTCCCTTGAACACCTGTTGAATTCATCCAAAGTGGAAAACGACTTCAATTCAAATCTCAATTGACCAAAGCCGACCTTTAGACCTTTTGGTTTCCCTGATTTGGTCTATTTGTGTCAAGGTTCCAAAAAAAATAACCTTGGGGAATTTCCCCAGGGATGAAATGGAGGAACAGGGCCCCTGCAACTCCCCCCCATGCTCGGAAGTTGGAATGGGACGGCCCCCGTTGTGCACAGATATGTTGTGCTTTGGGAAGCAACCGAACAGGGGGCAGCTGACGAATACTGCAGCCCTTGGGCAGGCGTCCCTGGTACACCCTTTTACTGGGGTCTCCTCCAAATTGGTTCTATATTTTTAGGGTGGACTACATAGGGGCCATATTCTGAAAATATCATGTCCGTGTATCCAATATGTTGGCCGGTAGAAGCAAGCCAGCAGAAGAATCAGCTGGGGGGCGTCCGTTCTGCGCCGCGGATTTCCTGCGCACGAGGATCCAGACATGGACACGCTGCTGCAGATCGAGATGTTGGAGCGGGATCCTGAGCATGGGAAGTTCCCCTCCTCTGACGTCAACAGACCTCCAGTGAGTTGCTTCCTGTCTTCCTTCTTTTTTCAGGGGATGTCCGCTTTTCTCATGGCCACTGGGGGTCTGGGCAAGCACGGATCGCAAAAGAGTGCGTCCCTCCCCTCCCAAAAGGTGCACCTTCAGTGGGTTTTACGTGGATTTGGATTGGCAAGTTTGGAGGTGTTCCGGAGGTGTTCCACAGGTGTTCCGCACGTGATTTCCCATTTACCCACAGAAACCTTCAAACTAATCCGGATGGTGCCACTCCCCTTCACCCACGAACATTTCTCCACGAGAACTGTGTAGGGACAGAGGGACCAGTAGGGGGGGGGGGTCTTGATGCCTCTTTGATACGGAGTTCAAAAAGGTGTTGCCGATATATATATATATATATTATAATATACACATATGACATTTGAGTATGAAGATGTGCAGAAGGAAGGGAGAAGACATAGAGTGTATGTGCATTTCAAGGGAGAGTTGCCCCTTTGTCTTTGACGAGAAACCGTATCAAAACCTTAATGCCCCCCGCAGGTGGGTACCTTTCACCGGAAAGCCTTGTTTCGGGTTGGTAATTGAACCCGGATCACAGTTCGCTCAAGATAAAGTTCTAAGGGTGGATTCCCCATTCTCTTCAGCCATCGTTCTCAATAGAGAAGCCACGCATTTTCCCAGAAGTTTGGCAATTGTTCGAAGAGAAGGATTTGCGAAGAGAACGGAAATGGAAGGTACAGCTAGAGTTATTCTCCCTGTGTGTGTGTGTGTCTTCCCCGAAACAATTTTTATGTAGAGTGGACGCGAAAAAGGTGGGAAAACTGAAAAGTATGTGCCCAGAAAAGCAGCAACTGCAAACTAACCTCAGCTCAGTCTCCCCCACAATACCCCACCTTCGCTTGCCAGCATGCTGCAGTGTCAGTGGCAACACCAGTGACTGCGTGGCAAGGTGCATGAATTGCTTGATGCCACCCAACCCCATCCCACCGCAAACGTAGGGTTTTCAACATTGCTCCCTTGCAACAGTTCGCACCTACTCGTACCAAAAGTCATGTTGCCACCTAACTTTGGACCTTTGCGTTTTCAGGGCTTAGTCAAAATATGTATTTCAGAACAGGCCTGCCATATCACACTTAAGGCCCCCGGTCGGGCCAGGTTTTGGCCAGGGGATTGCACTCTAACCCTGGGGTCTTTGGGTGGAAGTTATAGACTCCTTGAGTGATGCTTGTCTTTGCTGGCTCTCAGGCAATAAGGAAGCTGAGCTATCCAACTGGTGGCTCCTTGGGAATCCCTTCCGTTTCCAAAGCCGCGATTCCCTACGAACCAGCACGTCTTGCCTGCCCTCGGAAGCCCCACGGCCAGGTCGGTCCAAGGCAAGCTGAAGATCCGGGCACTGGCCGGCCTGGCGTGCTTGAGACAAATGGATGTGAAACACAAGGGATTTGGACTTCCAGCTGGGTTATCCCTTTGGGCTGCCTTCAAAAGCACACCAAATTGGGACCCCTTGACGAGTGACTGGGGGTTCCAATCAATCTTGGGTTCTTTGTCCGTGCAAGCCTCTACAAGATAATCATCACAGATAAAAACATGTTGACCGTTTCTTTTGGCTAGCACTTCACGGGGGGCCAAAGTTGGAGCAACCGTCACGACGGGTCCCTCAATCACTTTGGCATTGCTTTTGGACCAGGCTGGTCTTCGAACGCTTGCTTGTGGGAGGTGATACCCCACTGTTTCCGATTTGCACTTTCGGCAGGTGCGACCACAGGACAAGATTCAAGCCAACAACATCGAGGAACGTGTCGGCCGCCTCAGTGCGCGTGAGCTGTACCCAATAAACCTACTTCATCCTACATTGTATGTATATTATGTGCTCTTTAATCAACAAACACCTACCTCTTTTGATCCTATATGGACATGATGGTTTGTGTCAGGGGCACCTGACTCAGCACGTTTGTTCCATCCATGGAGGGGACTTTTGGTATGGCTTGAAGCAGGAACTCACATGAAATCAACCTTGTGTTTTCTCCCCCAAGAGCTTAAAGCTATGGGGTCTCTGTCCAGATAGGTTTCAGGGTTCTGGGGGATGCTGGGGATACCACCTGGGCTTATGTTTTGTTGTTTTTAAGCAATGCCTAGGGCCCACTCCGGATGAACCTCATACAAATCAGAGGCTTTCATGCCGCTAGAGTGGATCAAATCTGGAGGGACACCACAGGTTTATGGCGAGCTCGCGGGGGTAATGTTAGATCACCATGTAGGCCCTTTGGTTGCTTGACTATTGTGTTTGCTGGTGGGTGTCCCCGCAAACCCACAAAAAGCTGTTGACGTGTTGCCCAGCCAACGGCCATTAAGCTATTTCCAGGTTTCGGGATGGTAGACTTTGCAGAGTTCTGGTGGGGGCGGTCCAGATACCCAGATCTCCAGTGGATTGCACACTTGTGTTTCTTACTTTTTGAAGGGCTGTCCCTTCCAAGTCACCTACCAAGAAAGGAGTGCCAGTTCTTTGTCCGCATGGAAATCCACTGGGACCTGACCTGATAGTTTTCAAACGAGGGGCGTGCAGATCCCCAGGCCATATGCAAGTGTCGATGCTTCAGGTGGAATTTGTGGCAAGGGTTTTCCAGGCAGCCGTTGGTTTTATCCTTGTCTCGGAAAGAGCTTGTGGACTTGAAAGGTGTTGAGGGTTTGCCGATTTTCACTTGAAGGTTTTCACTCAAGCCTTTGCAGAAAGTGTTTAGGCTTTTCTACGCTTGCCTCACTGTATTTACGCGGCATCCGTTTGTCATTGGACAATAGTTGCTCTTTGTGCGTGCGTGAGTGCGTGCGTGCGTGCGTGCGCGCGCGCCCGTCCGTGGGTGGGTGGGTGGGTGGGTGGGTGTGTGTGTGTGTGTGTGTGTGGGTGCGTGCGTGCGTGCGTGCGTGCGTGCGTGCGTGCGTGCGTCCGTGCGTCCGTGCGTGCGTCCGTGCGTCCGTGCGTCCGTGCGTCCGTGCGTCCGCACGTTCGTGCGTCCGTGAGTCCGTGCGTCCGTGCGTCCGTGCGTCCGTGCGTCCGTGCGTCCGTGCGTCCGTGCGTCCGTGCGTCCGTGCGTCCGTGCGTCCGTGGTTGCTCCCCGTGCGTCCCTGTGCGTCCCGTGGCGTCCGTGCGTCCGTTGTTTGCGTCCGTTTGCGTCCGTTGCGTCCGGTGCGTCGTATAGCGTCGTGTGCGTTCCTGGTCCCGTGTCCGTGTCCGTGTCCGTGTCCGTGTCCGTGTCTGTGTCCGTTCGTGTCTGTGTCCGTGTCCGTGTCCGTGTCCGTGTCCGTGTGTGTGTGTGTGTGTGTGTGCGTCACTTAGTGATGTGCCAGAATTCTTATGCTCCAAATGTCGTAGCATGTTGAACTCAGTGGGTTATAGCCATGGTTAGAAGTTGGTAGGGGTTGATCCTCTTACAACCACAGATATCACCACAAAGTAGGTTGAGCAAGTTGCTAAGATTTCGGGTCGCAGGCCCTGTCAATGACTCAATGACACCGTGGAGAAACACACAGAAGAAAACTGGCCGCAAGATCCGTCATGCACAAGAAGCCTGGTCAAGCTTGGGCGTTGCCAGATGGCTGAAAAGGACTCTAGCAAGTTTTGCCCAACCCATGGAAAACACAACGGAACCCACGGATGAACACAAATGAGCAGCGCCCAAACTTCCCCCCCCCCCCCCCCCAGAGGGTTGTTTTTGGTAGGCGCCTGCCTCTACTAGCTGGATTAGCAAGGTATATAGTGAGGCCTGCATGAACCTTTATACGCATGTTGATAGGACCAACACGTCAATGGGCGCTGCTATCCCCGTCTGTTAAAAAATGGAAGTGCAATACTCGAAACACGGACTTGGGACCTTTCACCTCCTCCCCCTCTGAGCAGGGCGGATATGATCACAAATCAGGCTACACCCAGCTGCACGGCTGTCTTCCTCCGCGTGAAGCTATGGTAGCCCGAGCCCTTCAGGCCCTATTCGGTGGGTCACCCCAGACCTTTTGTGCCCTTTCTCCCTTTTTGAGGGGTCTCCCAAAAAATAACACCCTTCTGCCATAGTGCCCTTGCTCCCTTTCGGCTGAGGCCACTTTTGCACCTGGAACGCCATGGATCCCCCATAGACACCCATAGTCCCCTGCAGTTCCAAGAGCACCAAACCATCACATAAACCCTAAGCCCTGAAACCCAATAGGTTAAACCCTCAGCCTTAAAACCCTAAGCCGCTTAGCCATGGACCATCAGTTAAACCCAAACCCAATACCCGAAACAAACAGGTTCCAATATTGATCCCGCACGTGTCCACCATACCTTCCCGTGACGTGGAGACCCGGGGACCAGGGCCGAGTTCCATCCGAGTTGTTTAAGTTCTCTGAGGGCGCGGATCTCACCAACCCGCAGACCGCCTCCAAGAGCATCGTGCAGGAGATGGCCAAGAGCCCTGCCCCAAGCGGATCAACTGATCAACCCGCCCGCTCGAGCGAGCCGACGGGAGCTGCACGTGGCTTGTTTTTGGAGCCACCAAAAGAAGGGAAGGCGTTGTTAGTATGAAGGTTGTTGCCATGGTGCTGTGTTTATTATGGTTATTATGATTGTTTTTATGCACTAGCATGTTTATTATGACTAGTATTATTATTTTTGGTTTGTTACCATTTATTGTCTTTGAACCGTCATTTTGTGTTGTTATTGCTGCTATTGCTATTGCTGCTATTGCTATTGTTGCTATTGCTAGTGTCCTTCTTACTTATTATTAAATCTCTAAGATGATTTTGCCACCTCCAAACCATTATCCCCAAGAAAAGCGGGTTATATACCCTGAATATAGCGACTATATAATGTTGACCTACGATTAGTAAATAGACCATGAATAATGCTAAACTATTTCAAAAAAAAATAATAAATATACCATGAATAATGCTAAAAGTTTTTTCCCAGGGGAAAAAATATAAAAAAAAATGAAAAATAATATAAAGTAATTCAAACAAATAACCTTCCCCCCACAAGAGTGAATGAATCCTGAGTTCCCAAGCTCACAAAAGAACATAGAATTCCCATTGGGATCCATGCAAAATGCAGATTTTTATTCAGGGTCAGTGCTCCCAACCCTCATCCCCCATGGAATTTGCATGGTTTCATAGTGAATTTATCCAGGGATCATGCCAGGGAAACCTGATTTTCCATGTGATTTGCATGCTTCTGGCATCTAATCTTTATTCAGGGTCAGTGCTCCCAACCCTCATCCCCCATGGAATTTGCATGGTTTCATAGTGAATTTATCCAGGGATCATGCCAGGGAAACCTGATTTACCATGGGCTTTGCATGCTTCTGGCATCTAATCTTTATTCAGGGTCAGTGCTCCCAACCCTCATCCCCATGGAATTTGCATGGTTTCATAGTGAATTTATCCAGGGATCATGCCAGGGAAACCTGATTTACCATTGGATTTGCATGCTTCTGGCATCTAATCTTTATTCAGGGTCAGTGCTCCCAACCCTCATCCCCCATGGAATTTGCATGGTTTCATAGTGAATTTATCCAGGGATCATGCCAGGGAAACCTGATTTACCATGGGGTTTGCATGCTTCTGGCATCCAATCTTTATTCAGAGTGCTCCCATCCCCCATGGGGTTTGCATGGTTTCATAGTGAATTTATCCAGGGATCATGTTAGGGAAACCTGATTTACCATGAAATTTGCATGCTTCTGGCATCCAATCTTGATTCAGGGTCAGTGCTCCCAACCCTCATCCCCCATGGGATTTGCATGGTTTCATAGTGAATTTATCCAGGGATCATGCCAGGGAAACCTGATTTACCATGGGGTCTGCATGCTTCTGGCATCCAATCTTTATTCAGAGTGCTCCCATCCCTCATCCCCCATGGGATTTGCATGGTTTCATAGTGAATTTATCCAGGGATCATGTTAGGGAAACCTGATTTACCATGGGATTTGCATGCTTCTGGCATCCAATCTTGATTCAGGGTCAGTGCTCCCAAACCTCTCATCCCCCATGGAATTGGCATGGTTTCATAGTGAATTTATTCTTGCCAGGGAAACCTGATCATGCCAGGGAAAACTGATTTACTGGGATTTGCATGCTTCTGGCTTAATCTTTATTCAGGGTTCAGTTCAACCCTCATCCCCCATGGAATTTACATAGTTTCATAATGATTTTTTCCAGGGATTATGCCAGCGAAACCTGATTTACCATGGGATTTGCATACGTATGGTATTTAATCTTTATTCAGGGTCAGTGTTCCCAACCCTTATCCCCCATGGAATTTACATGGTTTTATAATGAATTTATCCAGGGGTTATGCCAGGGAAATTTGATTTACCATGGGATTTGCACACTTCTGGCATCTAATATTTATTCAGGGTCAATACTCCTAACCCTCATCCCCCATGGAATTTGCATGGTTTCATAGTGAATTTATCCAGGGATCATGCTAAGGAAACCTGATTTATCATAGGATTTGCATGTTTTTAGCACTCAATCAATCTTTATTTAAAGGTTAACAATCATTCTCATTGCTCATCTCTCTCCCTCTCCCCCTCCCCCCATCCTCTAAGAACAGCAGTAACAAATGACCACCACGACCACCACCATATCACCACCACCACCACCACTACCACCACCACAATCCTTTTTAGCCCTGGTCCTTCAATCTTGGGCACCTTATTTGCGAGGAATGCCTCCTTTTTCATCCAATAGGCAAATGCCTTCATGGCAATGCACCTCAAGCATCCAGTCTGAAATCTGCAATATGGCGGGCCGCGGGCCCGCGGGGCGCGGGGGCGGGTTCTCTTCGTGCTTCGTCCTCCGGCCCTTATTGGCCCGCGGGCGTCGGCAGGTTTATCTGTTGCCCCGGGCTTCCCTCTCCGTTCCTCTCCACGTGTTTCTGTCTTACTTTCATGCCCTCCGTCTCCTTCGGTTATCTACACCTACCCTATGGTGAGATGTTGTGCCGTGTCCGGCGCTTCCCCTTCCGGCTGTTCGTGCCTGTGTGTCTTTCGCCTCGCCGGCAAGTTGCCCTGCCCTCTCTATGGGGCCCTATAGGCGCCGTGGTCCCGCGCTCTTTTTATGCTATCGTGCATGGTGCTAATCTTGTCTCAGCCATCCTGATCTCCATGCTTGCCTCATGGCTCAAATCTGATGCCCTGAAGAACTTGCTGTTCTCATTCATTGCCTGCATTGCTACTAATGCTGAATGACACTTCATGTCCTTCAATTTGTTCAATTTCTCATTGGCTGCTGCATATGCATCATCCTGCTTCTTCTTCAGATTGTATGCTTTCTTCTCAATGTCCTGCATATGCTGATGTAGCTTGCTGGATTCTGTGCTCAATACCTTCTTAATCTTCTGCATTCTGATCTGCCATTCCTCCTTGATTGCCATTGGCCATCCCCTAGATGCTGGGCCTTCAACATGGGTGCATGCCTCAATCTCCATGTATGCAATGACAAAATTTCCACAATCAGCTCCTTTCTGGCGAACATGGTTCCTGCATTCCAGTTTGATATTTGCTGCATTCTCTCCTTCAAACAGCTTCACAATCTCATGGGCATACTTCAGGCATTCAGGATGTCCACCTTCCAAGGTGTCATAGCAATGCCACTGATCACCTTTCTTCACCAATAGGGTCCAATGCTTGGGCGCTCCATGGGCAGGGATTGGGATGCACAAAGTATCAACACCTGATGCACAGTCCAGGATTTGCCCCTTGACCAACTCATAGCCAGCCTCATCCATCTCAGTCATGTTCACAGTCAGCTTTCCCATCAATGCTGGATCCAAGCACTGCACAGACTCAGGAATGTTCAATTGCCACTGCATCCATGCCCATGCCAATACAATGTGCTGATCTTCCAGGTATGTGTCTGCATCTATCCCAAGCAAGGGGTATGTTGTATCAACAAATGGCTCTGGATGGGCAGCTATTGCTTGCAGCATGCTTTGCAATGATGCCCTTGTGATATACTGAAAGGTCCTGTATGCTCTGGGTTTCTTCCATGTTGCATCTTCCAGCATCAGGAACTCCATCTGTGTGCTAATGACACCCTTCTCTGTCATGATGCTTGCTGTGCCATCCTTGACATTGGACACACTCCCTGATCTTCCATACTTCAAGGGGCCTGCCTTTTCTGATACCACTCTCACACCCTTCCCAATCCAATCATGGAGCTCATCACCAATTGCATCATCACTTTTCTTTGCTGGGATGTCCTTCTTCATAGCCTTGAACTCCAATTTGCTTGACTTCTCAGCCTCCTTCTTCATCACTGCCTTCTTATCTGCCTTCTTCTTCACTGATGGCTTTGCTATCATGCTTGGCTTTGAGCTTGCTGATGGCTTGCTTGCAATGCTAGGGTTCTTCTTCTTCTTCATTTTTGCTAGCATTGAGCTCTTCAGCAATACCTTGCCAATCCTCTTCTTATTTGTGCTCTTGGCCACAATCTGTTCCAGTGCCTCTTTTTTGCTCATGCTGTCTAATAGCTTTTTGCTCATATGCTTCCTGGCTGATATCCTGATCAAGGATCTGTGCACTGATTTGGTCCTTGCTTTCTCATGGTCTTTCATGATGGTGGCCCATGTCGACTCAAGCATTCCTCTCCTGTAGAACTGCCTCCTCAACTTGGGGCTCATCCTGAGGAATAGGGAGTTCTGCATGGGCAGTATCATCTCTTCATTGAGCTCATGCACAATGTCCACTGCATCCTTCTCCTCATCTAGCTTCTCATCCTTCACAGGATCCTGTCCTTCCTTCTTCTTCTGGTGCTTATCTGTCTGATCATCTCCTTCTTGATCAGGTTCAGGATGGCAGTTGGACCATTCTATCAAGTCAGTGATGGCTGCTGCATCGTTGCTGATGGAAAAGTCAGGAGTCAATGGCCTCCCTGATTCATCCAACCATGAGTGCCTATGCTCCCACCAATCTGCTGGGATCCTGCTGGTGCCCATCTCACCTTTGATTGGGACCATCTTTCCTTCCTTGATCTGGTAGGCAATCAAACCATTCCTCTTGGCACCTGATACTACCCAGTTGGTCTTCTCATTGAGGACTGCCATATAATCCTGACTAGCGATTGAAGCCCTGATGATCTCTGGATATCCAATGCTGAAGCCCTTGTCTGATCCATGCTTCCTCTTGAATTGGACCCTCATCCTATCCAGCTCATGGGTGAAATATCTTTTCCATGCTCTGCTGCAATCAGTGTCTGTAACCCGAAGTTGTGCTGTCATGTGGCCCAAAATGTATGCAGGTGCCTGATTCAGGATGTGCTCTGCTTGCATTGTTGCATCCGCAAAATTTGCACTGAATGAGTCCTTGATGTTGATGCCACATACTTCCTTCTCTCCTTGCTCCATGGCAATCCACTTCATCAGAACTCCATCCACATTGCCACTGGGTTGGGACATGATGATGATCTTGCT